CCACCCAGCATTTCGGGGAGGTCCACAGCATCTGCCATTGTAGCCACATCTGAACTGGTGCCGATCAGCAGGAACGGCTCTACAGGAACTCCTCCGGGCCAGTCACATTGCTGCCTCAGCCCCTTCTGTCCTTCCACCACCGCAAACTGGTTTCTCCATCCTACACTGCGCAGATATTTCCGGGGGTTCTTGATGGCAGTCTGATGCACACACACATCTTGGTGTCATTTTGACTTAAAAACCCATATCCATTTATGATGGCCTGACATGGCCTGGCTCGTGCCACCGCACTCGGGCACCTCAGTAGTGTTGGCCGGTGGTGAGCGCAGCTGGTGGTCATGGCGACCAGGCTCTCTTTCTCTTTTGGATTGGGTCTCGGGCTCCTCACTGGGTCTTGCTTGGGACAAATGTTTTTGAGGAGTCAGAAGTTATATGTGGATTTTTTACTGTGGGCGACTTGGTACCCTTAATCTTGCATTGTTCAAGGGACTGGATTGGCCATGAGGTAATGAGAGGACATTCATATGGAAATGCCCAGCAGGCACAGGAAGGTCAGATGTGGACAGCAATGTAGAGTGTGCCATTTGGTAGCTTTGTGACTTTAGGGAAGTTAATTAACCTCTCTGAGCCTCGGTGCCTTCAGCTACAGAAAGGAGGGGGTAAAAATATCTACGTCACAGGATTATTGTGAGGAATAAATGAGGCTCTAACTATAAAATGTCATAGCAATTGGCAGATGGTATTTATTAAATGACTATTATGAATGTTACCATTGTTAAGGGAGTGATTTGCAAAGTTGATAGCTGCACTCAAGGGTGACTGGTTACATGTGAGAGAGTGTAGAGAGAGAACAGAGGGTTAAAGACTGAATCTTGAGAAACATAAGATGAAATAAAGAAGAAATCCAGGAGGAGACAGAGAGGAAGCTGTCAACAAGATAGAGCCTAGGTTGTGTAATGTGGAAGCCAGGCAAGTGGAGAGTTTGGGTGCAAGGGGGATGGGTATCCTCTTCCCTGGTGGCCACCCAGAAGGTGCTATTCGAATATGACCCATTGCAGTAACTCAGAAAACATGCCAAGAAATCTTCATCTCTGTTTGTTTTTAGGATTTGTCTTGGGAGGTGCATTTGGGGTGTTCACCGCCGGCATTGATACCAATGTGGGCTTTGACCCCAAGGATCCTTACCGGACTCCAACAGCAAAAGAAGTTCTTAAGGACATGGGGCAGAGAGGAATGTCCTACGCCAAAAATTTTGCCATTGTGGGCGCCATGTTTTCTTGCACTGAGTGTTTGGTCGAATCTGTAAGTGTCTCTGCCTCCTGCGAAAGCCATGCCTTCTGCCATCTTATGACTTCTAAAGAGAAAGACTCTTAATGTTATTAGAAAGCAGATCAGAAATGTCTGATATTTGCTAGATTGAATGTCCATAAAATGGCCCCTATTGTAAACTCTTTGTATTTATGCTTTGGGCTTGCATGACTCTTGACTTCTTTTTGTGGGCTTAAAGTTGGTTGATGATCTTAAACACGAGACTTCCTGGGGAGCCCGAGACGAGATTTGGATTACTTTTCAAATGTTGTACTTGGTTTCAGTGCTCTGGTGTCACCTGCAGGAAGCATCTATGAACACATTCAAATTTTAGGAGCTATACTTTTGAAAGAGAAAAAGATTAGGTTTCCTTTGGGGCGGGACTAAATTAGCCAGCTAGAAACCCTGTGCTTTTTCCCCTTAATCGTCTTGTCTGGCGTGTTTCTTTGGCTCTAAACTTCACTTCTCCACCCACAGTACCGGGGGAAGTCAGATTGGAAGAACAGTGTCATTAGTGGCTGCATCACTGGAGGAGCCATCGGTTTCAGAGGTTGGTAAACAAGTCTCGAGTGGTTTTCTTTGTGGCCTTGGACAGCATGCTGAAGTTGACATTTCTAAACATATGAGTGTTCCAGGGACAGCCCGAGGCATATGTGGGCACTTGGTATTCTTTCCTTCTGACAAATGAATCACGTTTGCTTATGTGTCAACTCACTTTGGGAAATTTCAGGATTTCTTCTCCTTGGCACTCTTGACATTTTGGACCAGATACATCTGCTCCGGGGAGGGGGTTGTCCATGTATTTAAGGATGTTTGCACATCCCTGGCCTCTACTCACTAGAGATGCTAGTAGCACTTCTTAGTTGTGAGAACTAAAAGTGTCTCCAGACATTGCTGAATGTCCCCTGAGGGGCAAAATTGCTCTGAGGTGAGAACCACTGATAGATCTAGACCTGTCTTAGGAAAAAGAACTGCCCCATGTTGGAAATACGGGAGAACGTCCTCACAGTAATTCCTGGAGTGTGGGCACATGCAGGCTAGTACGGAAGCATAGCCAGGTCCCATTCAGCCCTGGAAAGCCCATTTGTCCACATGTCATGCTGAACTTTCAGCTTCATGCATTTCCAGTATTTAGACGTTTTTCTTAATAATACTATACAATTGTCAGTTTCAATTTTATTTATTACAAGTTATCACAGTAATGTCTTTCTGCAGTTGAGGATTCTTAGATTCCTACCCATGGAAACCAAATATAGACATTTAAGAAATGTTGGATTATCAGCTGAAAACAACGAAGAAAGAAACTAATCTGCCACTTCTCCCTGTTGGCATTCCCATCAGGAGTGTGGTATAAGGGTCAATGACTTGACTTCCTAACAGTGTCCGTTGCTGGGCCGGCCACTCTCTCTCTGCTGTGCCCCAACTTACCCAAAGCAAAAGGCCCGTTTCCTCGTTTTCGGAGAGGCGGGATGATTTGCTATCATTAAAAATTTGCATTTGCTCCTCAAACAGCCATTTATGATTTAGAGGGCAACTTTTCCTTTGGTCTTCCCATCGCTCAGCTTTGTCAGGGCCGTTGGGAAGCTCAGCTCCCTCTAGGACTGCTTTGATCACCTTCCCAGGAATTTATTCCATAAACAAATCAGAAGCAGGCCATATGCTTTCACTTGATTCCAAGGGCTGGTTTTCTTAACCAGTTTCCTGCCTGTGAGGAGCTGTTTTCATGAGACTGGAAATATTAATTCTTTGGAATGAGAAAAGTTAAACGAATGCACAGTGTAACTAAAGCACTGGGTTAGATCATGACCACGGCTTCATTGAAGCCTCGCAGATCTCTGACAGGCACTTAGCTGCTCTCTTTGCATCTGTGGGTATGCAGACGTTTTGTGAATGCAGCCTGGCCCCGCATTTGTCACCACAGGTAATGCCTTTTCTGCTTGCTTTACAGCTGGCTTAAATGCTGGGGTCATTGGTTGTGGCGGTTTTGCTGCTTTCTCTGCTGCAATCGATTATTATCTACGGTGAGAGTGCCTGCCTCTGGGGACGGACACCACCACCCAGGACCAGAGCTGCTCTGTGGAGGGCATTTCTGCACCACTCAGGGCCCTCGCTTCAGACCCTGAAGACATTTGTTTCCTCTCAGACAGTCCGTGTTGTGAGGAGCCGCCCGGCCACTGGACGCCTCCAGCCTCGGAGCAGCCACACTCTCTGCTCCTGGACGCCAGCCTCTCTCTCTCCGGCAGATTAGGAGTCAGTGTGTTGACTTGTAGAAGTTAAGCTCCACAGAGATTCGGTGCTGACCACACTTGGCCCCCTGGCTGGTTGGTGCTGTGGGAACGGAGGTGACTTTACAGACCCAGGAAGCTGCTCGACCTCGGAACTCCATGCCGTCATCCCTCTCACGTATCCGTCAGGGAGGGCAGGGTACATGTATGCCTGCTGACCAATTGTGTCACTTTGTTTAGCCTTCTGCTATCCTTGTTTAAAAAATGTATTTATATTACAGCTTAAATGGTTTATTTTTATTTTCAAATTCCATAATTCCCCCAAAATGGTGCCAGGTGGCCCAAAGATTGAACATTCAAAGGAGAAAAATTGAGAAAGCTCCTGAGAAGTCTGGGATTGCCAGATTTTCAGGGTTTGTAGTCGTGTGACCCTCGTCGAGACTGTTATATCAGCCAGGGCCTTCCATCCAAGAAGCCAGCCTCGCCCCTTCCTAGGACGCATCGAAACCCCAGGCGTAAGTCCTACTGGCCTCTTCTAAAAAGCCCTCCTGTGGGCGGCTGATAGGGATGCCTGCGGTCTGCGCCACATACTGGTGTTATGCTCTGAGCACTGACTCGGCCTGGCTCCAGGACATGCGAGGAGCCTGCTCCCCTCATTCTGACGAAGTCACAGCAGGTACTGGGTAAAGTCAGACATCGCTGAGGGGCTGTTCACCACTCCCTTGCTCTGGTATGTGTTCTTTTGCTTTAACATATTAGTGTTTTTTACTTGACCTGGTAGCCCTTTTCTGACAACAAAAGCTCAGTCTTATTGTGTATCATAGACAAAAAATAGCCTTTTATGATTAGGGTTTGCCCCGGGTTCTGCTTTACTCTGGTGCTTCGGTGGCAAGATGAAGCGGATGGGTTCAGGCGTTTGCACTTGGGGGCAGGCAGGCAGGCATGTCTTTAGCCAGTGGTGGTGTCTTTTTTCCTGCAGTACAGTAACTCCTTCGCCTTTTTTTTTTGCTTGCTTTCCCCTTGCCTGCTGTCTTCTAGCCCACCCACTCTTAACCAGAGTTCAGAGACTCAGCTGGAACATCCAGGCATCCCGAGTGTGTGTGTGTATGTGAGTGATAATGTCAAACCCAGCTGGTAACACCTTCCCTGGCCATGTCTGCTGTTTCCTTTGGAATGAGTGTGAGTTAGTGTGCAGAGCTCATGTCCTTCTATGGTGAATTCTATATAATGCCTGGCCTCGTCTCACAGGCATGAGGCGTCATTGCTGCTAGGCTGTCTGGAGTGTCCTCAGAGGTCCGAGAACTAATTTAGGATGATTTTCTACATTGTCCCTACATGTCACCTATAAGCACTTTGAGAGCAATAGCAGAGACTCCTACCTGGCACCTGGCAAAGTGTTAGGATGCCCAGCATCTCCTACCAGCCAGTCTAGTGCATGGGGTCAGATACACTGAACAGCCGGACACAGGACAAGCTGCCCTCACGACTGCCTTGGAAAGGATGAGCCCTGGGCTGTCAGTAGCCATCAGTTCAATAAGTGAAGCATTGTCCACATTGACTATTCAATCAGGAGAGGAGATGAATCGTTTCCTGTTTTAGATGGCTAAGGAGTCAGTATGACCTCATAAACCAAACACCAATTTTCAGAGACATCTGTTCCTGATCTCCAGAATAAACAAGTGTCCAAAGGCTTGGGCTGGTGGGAGCTACATTAACCCCACTGGCTCCTAAAGGGAGTGGGCTCTCTGGGGGATCCCGCCTCTTTGCAGGCAGATTAGGCCAGAGGCTGCCCCAAAGCTGAGCCACATCCAAGGAAAATGTAAAGTTTACACAAAATAGGAAGCCTGCACTTGAATGGACAAGTTCCTGCCATCTCTCTGAGGATGCTGATGGCCAGGTCCCTGGCAGGGCATTTGTACTTCCTAGCTGGCTGCTGGGTGACCTGGCGGCCTTGTGAAGAGAAGGAGGCGGCTTGGGCTCCCCTCCCTCCAGCTGCCACCGTCCCCACGGAGTCACAGGAAAGCTCAGGGGAGGTGAACTGGTAAACAGATGCCTGTGAACTCACATCTGGATGCAGCCTGAAGAGTTAAATATTTAGATTGGTGGTCTTCCCTGGACCACCGAGAACACAATGTCCGCACCACACGGCTGAGTTGTGTGCAAATGTTGGGGCTTTGCATTTTTTTATTAACATTTTCCTCTCACGTGGTTTACATCAATTTATAATAATCTACATAAGATGAAACAGAACATAGGCAAAAAAATATATCCTTACCCACGTATTAAAGTCAAATATTAATGAAGGGTCCCATCCCACCGGTCTCGGCAAAAACCGGCAGCCCATAGTCATTGCCAGCAAGGACAGGCCTGGGATTCCTGCGGCCTGTGTGCTGAGCCTGTGGGCACAGCCTGCCCTGCTGGGCACAGTGGCTGGGGGTTCTGGGCTGCACAGTTCCTGTCTCAGGAGAACCCGTGGGCTATTTCCTTGGTGCAGCGTAGTCCAGGTCTGGTACCTGCCCTTCCCCACTCAGGGTAGAATTTATAAATACTCTGAGCCTTTTGCATTTCTCAGCCCTTCCAGCCTTCCTCCCATTTTCACTGCCTAAGCATGCCTAGGGGCTGCAGTTAGTGGCTACCTGCTGCTGAGAAGTAAACACCCCTTCTTTTGGAAGGTGGGAGGCACCCATTTTTGGCTGTAACTATCTCAAGCTGGGCCTCCAGTCATTGCCATCAATGGCTTTGGAAACAAGAGCAGGGGTGGGCAGACGCTGGGATCTTTAGACTCAAGTTCTGTCCCCGTCTCCTGTCCCAGGGAGCAGGGCTCCTAACTAAGCTGCTAGCAGGTAGCCAGCGAGGTGGCATTCCCCTCTTCTTGGGCCTCTCTTTCCTCCAATGTGCACAGCGTGTGTACCGTTCGGCCCAAGATTGAGTAACAGGTGTAAACAAGATCAGAAAGGGCCCTCCTCGGAGCACGCACTATAGCTTTAGGGCCAGCAGACCCTTCTTTAAAACTCAGCCCTGAGCTCAAGCTACGGGAGCTGTTCTCTCCAGTCCTGAGGCCCAGCATCTACTCCCTGCCACAGAGGAGAGCTGGGGAGCTTGTGCTGCAACGCAAGCCCCTGCCGCCTGGGAGTGTCTGCCCTGCCAGGCTGGCCACCACAGGCTCCCACGGGAAGAAACAGAAGTATACTCACTCCTCTCCAGGACGGAGCAAGGGGTCTCCCAGCTGGGAATGGAACCTGCCGATCCCTGACTCGATAGAGCATCAACAATGAGGGTCTCCGGCAAAACCCAACCCCATGAGAGGCAGTTCACCCGAAAGGCTGCATCTAGGAGTCGGGGTTGGGAGGCAGCACCCTGAGGGCTGCCTTCGTGGACTGTGCCTGCCTTTCCCAGGCCCTGAGCACCTGCGGCCGTGGGGCTACCCCGTGGCAGTGCTTGGCTGGGGAGGATGTAAAATCTAAGGCAGAGGTACCACGAGGTACATGGAGGCGCCAGGAAGGGCTCGTCTCCTGGATGGAGCTTGCCGTTGTCTGGACACCTGCTTCAGCCACATCAGCTGCCCTCCTGGAGGCCTCGCTTCACTAGAAAAGCCACTAGGACTCGTGCTGCTGGCAGCCGCTCCCCCGCTCAGGACACCAGCGCTGCACACACTCCTCTGAACGTTCCTCCGGTGCCGCGCCTCTCCCACCTCCCCGACGCTTTCCTGACCCTCTGGCCATCTCGATAGCAGGTCACTTGCGAGTCTACACTCAAAGGAAATAGACCACCAAGGGAAAAGGAACTGAAAAGCAGAAGGAGAAAACAGTCAAGATGCCTCACCGGTAGACAGGAGACAGAACAGATAAACCCCAGAAATGGTCCTCGGGTGGAAAATTCCAGAAATCCGCTCTCCAGCTCTGCTAAGCTGAGGATTAGTGTGAGTCTGTCTCCTTGTCCAACATTTGCACAGGCAGCAAGGCAAAGCAGGTGTGCTTCCACAGGGGAGGGCCAGGAGGGGGCCGGGGCAGCATGCGGCAGCACTGACGGTCACGTGGTCACCGCCACCCGGGGCCTCCTCACAACTTTCAAGGCGACGACGGAGCGAAAACCAAGGCTGCACGTGCATGCGGGCAGGCTGGGCGGGGGGAGCGTGGAGAGGACCGAGGAAGGCTGCCAGGAGACTGCAATCTGGGAGCAGGGCCAAGAGAGGACAAGCGGGCAGCAGTTACGCAGCCAAATGAAAGCCCTTGGACTGGACGCGGGAGGAAAGAAAGTGCTGGAGGAAATGAAAGAACAAAGCAGGCCGTCTGTGCCCGTCCTGGGCCAGCCCCTACCTTTTCTGCATGACAGACAGACATAAAACAACCCCCAAACGGCACGGAGCGTGAGACACACGAGAGGTACAGAGGGCCGGAGCCCGGGTGTGGCGGCGAGGCTGGGGCCGGGTCGGCTGGCTTTGTACAAGGTGGCACAAAAGATGCACATGTTCCAGTTCTTGGAAACCTGCGTCCCTTGGAGTCTGGAGTGCTGGGTTTGGGAGTTTCCTATTGTAGTCTTTCAAGTCTGTGCCGGTCCCCCGGCGAGAGAGGCTGGCTCGGCCACCCCCCGCAGCTCCCACCTGGGGCTACACATCCGTGGAGAAGTACAGTGTGTTCCGCTTCAGTTCTGCGAAGGAAATGGGGGGGTGCTGCAGGTAGTAGAGGAGGACCTGGACCTGTGGGGAGACAGGGGAGACTGAGGTGAGGTCCTTGTCCTCATGGCGCTCCTCTGGTCTGTTGAGAAGAAATGGCCCCCAGTCTGTGCTGCTCCCCTTCCCTCTCAGGTGGGCTCCTGCCACTTCCCCTTCCTTGGCAGCCCAGGTGTGCCGGCCCCTTTACAGCAGTAGGGGGCGCTGCAGGGCAGAGGGTGGGAGCCTGGGGCCATTTCCCAACCTGCCTCCAGAGGTTGGCTTTGGCTTGACATCCTGCCTCAGACTGGACCCTGCTCTGGGTCTTATAGGATCCCAAGGAAGCCTCCTGCCCCAGAAGCAGTCCTAGAGCTTCCACGCGTGAGGACGAGGCCCCTGCGTTTTCCTGCCCCTGGGCTTCCTTTCAGAGACAGGCACGCCCAGGACTGAAGCCAGCGCTGGTCCCTGGCCTAGGGGCCTGAGTATAAACTTGTTGTTTTGGTCTGGGAAGGGCAGGGCTGTCCAAAGTCCTGCCTCCCCGGTGACAGCCTGCAAACCACAAACCCAGCTGCTCAGGAGCAAAGGGGAGTGGGCTCTGAGCTGTTCTCTCCACCCTCAGGGAGCGGGCCTCACCCTCTC